AATAATAAGTTGCTAAAATTATTTGATTTCTTGAACTATATCGTATTACAAAATTTCGATATTTGTAAGTAATCTTTCAAATATAGCAGTATTGTTATTCTTTAATATTAAGTTAGAACCTAATAAAAACAGATCAAGTGAATAAAAGTTTTAAAGTTAGTCAAAATCGTAACAGGAACTAGAAGTATAAAATTAAAATTATTTAAACTTATGATTGATCATGATGATTTAAAAAAATAAGGCTTTGCACGGGTAAAAGACGCTATAACTGTGTACACTATGAAGTGGTCCACACTGAGTCACAGTGAATTTGAATAATTGTATCTACCTTATTGTTAGCAATATTCAGTACTGAGAAATCAAATTGTATTGTCGAAATGGAAGTATTATTTTATTTAATAATATTGAAATTATTTACATTGTAAAAAATATGTCTTTTAATGTATTTTCTACATGGTAAGCATGCTGTATACGTTTTACGAAGGAAAAGAAATTTTCTAAAAATTGTACAATCTAATTTACACTGCCCAAATAATATAATTATAGAAAATAAATTAACATATACACCAATGAATTGTAAACAGTGAATAAAAATATAAATAAGAATAAGCTTGAGGAATTATTAACTTGCTTTAGGGGAGTTTGTATATTTATAATAAAGGTCATGAGGTAATATTTCGTATAAAACTGTAGCACTAGTGCAGTGGACATGTTTACAATGTATATATGTATATTGTCGTGGTAGTAGATATACGTTATACAGTCCTTGAACATTACTTTTTACAATTTATTGAATCCTAATTATAGAAATAAAAACATTATTCGATGTTTTGTGATTAGTCACTGGAAGATTTACTAACTGAATACTGTAATACTGGAACATGAATAGCTTCAAAAATCTAAGTTAAGTATCAACTCACGTATGTTTGTACGCGTAATTGTTAAATTTATATTATTTTTATATTTTAATGATAATAATTAAAGTGTGTAATATCACATGTCGTGGAAGTACTCTTATTTTCCAAATAAGTAACTATCTTATAGTTTATCAAAGTCAACTTTTCCTGCATTCATATTTTCGATTAACTGTGCAAACTTTTCATGAGAACATTCGTTTTCTTGCACAAATGGCTGGGCTTTCATATTTCGAACCCATTCAGCCTGTAATCAATGTAGAATGTCAATTATATTTATATTTTAAATTTTTGGATATTGTAATATACATAATAAATTTATCAAAACATTTGACTCACTGTATGCGTAAAACTACCATCATTAGGACTCATTGGTTCCTTATAGATTAAAGGTAAACTTTTTCTTCGTTCAACCCAGGGCCACATAAATATATCCAACATTCCAGGTCGAGTTCCTTGAACAAAAAATTACAATCAGGAACAAGCATTTTTGTAGTATTATTGTAAAATAAAAGAATTATATACAAACCACCAAAGAAAATAGTTCCACGAGTTTCTAATTCTTTTTCAAACTCTTTTAACAAACTTGACATTTCAGCAGTAATTTCATTCAAACTCCTTTTGTCTTTACCATGTATACAATTTGAGAAAATTGTAACAATCTAAAATTAGTAGCCCATTATTAATATGTAGTAATCGATTAATGAAATCTGTTATACAGAGGTATAAAATAATAGAAATATACATATTAATTTATATTTGATTGCTATTACTTTGGAAAAATGGTCTAAGAGCTCCAAATCACAAGCCTTTGTTGCTTCATTGTATAAAGGTGGCTCGGGATATTTTTTATCCAAATAGTTTGCTATATCTATAGATTCTTTGTAAACACGTTCCTCCCCATTATCGGTATCAACTAATGCTGGCACCTTACCTTCAGGATGAATCTAAAAATTATGGTAAATGAACATTATATATAATTATTAGAGTAAAACAACAATGTTATAAAACATATATATACAAACCTCAAAATACCATTCTGGCTTATTCATTAAGTTGATGTTAACGATGTCATGAGGAATTTTTTTGTAAGACAGTATTAACCGAATACGCTGGGCAAAAGGACAAAATTTCATGCTATATAAACGCGCTTGTCCTTTTATTTCTGCTGGTTTCTGGGAGCCTAAACAGTCAAATTATTAATAAAAGTAAAATTGAACATTATGAATTACAAATTAATCTCGAAATGCATATAAAAACATATATATATAATAATCAACAATAAATAATAATCAACACAAATGTACTTCAAAATTTATGATAAATTTCAATCAATTTTTATCGGTAAAAAAATTTATTTATTTGTGAAAAAAAATTAACTACTTACCAGCACCAAGATGTTCACTGCTCATACTTGAAAATTTTTCTTCAACCGATGATAATAAAGGAATGCTTTTTTTAGGCTGATATAATGATCAATTTCAGCGAAAATAAGTGTAGAAATAATTGGTAACGTTTGTTATTTGATTTTTCTGATTGATGGCAAAGACAGAACTTTCTCCAAAAAATTACAAAGGGAAGTACTTTTCAATCTGCAATAACGCTATAGACTGACTGTGCGAAGTTGCGGACGCGCAGGTGGATTGCTTTTACACAGGCAAAACTGAAATTACTAGTGCACATGTGTATGCGCGCAAATGTACGTATATACAGCTGAAATTTGCATGTAAATATGTACTTACATAGGTAGCCTAGTTTGAGATCCATCAATAATAACAGACTACGTAGGAGTAAAAATCAAACGATAAAGATATTTCGGTATTACTGACTGATTATGTTACTTCATCCAGAAGTAATAATATTTGAAATAATAATGTTTTTATATATATAAACAAGATTTATAAATTCGATGAATTGCAATTTCCACAATGGTTTGTAAGGTGGCCGCCGCGATCGTGGGGCCATCTACGATGGTGATTTGGTCAACTAATTTTCCCTATCCTAATACAATACAAGGTGTCCCAAAACTACCGTATTTCCGAGAAATGAGGGGTTCCTGAGGTCTTTTGAAGCAACTTTTTCCTTAGCGAAAACGCGATCCGCGCCTTTGTTTACGAGTTATCAACGAAAAACAGTGACCAATGAGAGGCGAGGGCGCGAAGTTCGAGAGCCCGCAGCACGTGGCTTTGGCAAAAGGTCGGGACGGATTCGAACCTCCCTCGAAGTATTAAACAAGTCACAGAGCGTGAACTTTCCGGATGTTTTCTTACTATGTAACAGTGATATTTTTAAGAAAAATTCTTATTTTACTTTAGAACGTCTGAAGAATATTTACTAATTTTTCGGACCCGAAATAATACGTAGTTTAACCGTGAAACTACGCAAAAGATATTTTTGCTTCAATAATTTCCAATAATAATAAATCCAAACAAATCTAACAAGCTTAAACTAAGAACCCTAACAACCTACAAGCGCGTCGGTAATCTCGGGGACGCTACCCCCCGTAGGGACTTCCGATCAGACGAATACTAATTTCAACAATTCTTGAACGAAACATTACTTCGAGCACTGACTGGAAGTATAAATCCACACACTTTTACAGTATAAAGTTTGCAGCTATTTGCTCGGTATCATCCACGATTCAAAAAACCATGCCATTGGCAACATTTTCTAGGTCGATGATGATACCGATTGCCCGGGTCTCACCGCGAGGAGGTTGCTGCTTTAGAGACCCGAAAGGAAGTCAGAACGAAACCGGAATTCGTTATGGCTCCCTTTCTAACAACGACGACTTAAAAACTAGCACACTCACTCGCCAGCTAGCTAGCACACACACACACACACGCGCGCGCGCGCTCGCATATGTCACGTATTATTGCGGACCAAAGTGGATCAAAGAGGAAGTCTCCGATCCACAGGGACCAACATGAATCAGAACAGACGGTTCTGATTTTTCGAAACTATGGAACAAGTGCGAGCCATTGCAGAAGGTACTGACTCGAGGGTGACACGACGCGTACGATGCTCGCACAAGTCTGGAGCCTCGCAGATCTCGATGCTCGCCGTTTTCACACGAGGAATAATGATCCAAAGTTGGATCATCCTACAATGGGTCGGACTTCTCGCCCTGCACCCCGCCCCCAAAAGAGAGCTAAGGACGTCTTACATGCGAATACGCCAAGCGACAGCCTCCCCAGAAGGAGGGTCCGCGTTCGAATCACCACGCCACATGGTCACTCGTCGAACATCGAGATGTGTCCGGACTTACCCAAGAGATTGCGCAAGCAAGGCCGACACAGCAGAAGGCTGTGTCGGAGTCAAAAGGAGAAGAAAATTTGAGTTTCTTGTGAGGCAATTCTTGAACAATTAAATATTGTAGTGAAAAGAAGAGAAATTTAGACGAAGTTCAAAGAACAAAATAATATTCATTCTTAAGAGAAGTCTTTACGCACTTACAAAATAAGACGTATCCCCCGGCGGATGAAAACCCCACGGCGGATGATAATATCTCTAATGAACCTGAAATAATTGAATTCTAGTTAGTGTGAATAGAAAATAGGTGATAAGTCGAATTAGGAAACCGAAGACAACCCGCACACGAGTGCAATTTTTGCGAAAATTATGGAAACTAAGACCCATCCCACGGCGGATGATAATGTCTGTAATGAACCTGAAATAAATGAATTTTAGTTAGTGTGAATAGAAAATAGGTGACAAGTCGAATTAGGGTACCTAAGACCAGCACACGAGTGCAATTTTTGGGAAAATGGAGGAAACGAAATTATGGAAAATTTTGGCGAAAACATAGAACCTAAGATGCATCCCATGGCACGAATTTATCGAAGAATCTTTACATCGAAAATATTCTATCGATACATTTATTATTTCTAGCTATTTAATAATAATTATAAGAATTTCTTTTGCTAATGAAACCTTTTAAAGAAAAACCTTCGAAGCATAGATATTAAGTAATCTACTTCCACATGGATGTTAGTCATATACCAAGCACGTACAAATGTCCACGAGAATTATATTTTTCTATACTTTAACAAAATTTTGACAATTAAATCAAAAACTGTTTTCAAGATCTATTTTCCATATTTATGAAAAATATCGTTATTTCATTGTAATACCTTTAATGGTTCAAAAGCTATAAGAAAATGCTACTGCATTTCTCGAGGAGAATATTTCTATTGAGAATGTTTCTTTTTCATTCCTAATAGAAAATGCCGGTGACTCCATCTCGTATTTATCAAGCAGCTACACGTCTCTAGATAATACCATTTATGATAACAAAATCTGTACAGCAGATACCGACCTGCTGAATCCGTAAAGTCACGTGACTACCCGTAAAATTACGATATCCTGTATCGTCGTTGTGATACATATATGTACGTATATATGTACATGTATGCAATGTACAACATATATAGTTCGTAATAATGTGCTTCTACTGTGCATGCAACTCGGTACAGTCGGTCAGATCATTCTCACAGAGACAATTAATCATATTTTAAGAATTCCATTATGTCATCCTAATTATTTCCAAGTACTGATAAATCTTAACAAGAAAGTATAGAAAAATTTCTCGAAACCCTTCTATTCGATCACCTGTTCTGTAGCTATTAGCCGTTTTACCATAGGTGAAATGGCGCCTTGTTCAAATTTCAAGCAGAAACGGTCAGTGGAGCAATCTACGAGATCAAATAAAAACTAATTGTCCATACTATAAGTATGGATATTTTGCCGTTTGATGTGTATGGCGCTATACTGTCCTATGATTCTTGCCTGATTCTTCATTATATGATATAACAAAACTGGTAAGAATCATTTGCTCCAGTATACAGAATAAGTTGAATATGTAATGTGAATATGTAATTATATCTTAAAAATTTATGTTAACTTTTTACTTTAAATTCTAGATTCGCTCCTGAATGACCATTCTTAAATAAATTTTCCAGTCATTTTTCCTGGAGAAGGATATTTTCTTTTAAGAAGCAAAATTTGTGTCACTGACATTTACACAGCAATCTTCAAGAGTATGTAGCAAGTAGCATGTAACGGTGTGTAAGGGTAACGCTGTCAGTGCTTATCACTTTTCACTGCTGATAAAGATACAAACGACGCTTGTGTTTGCCCGCGAACAAATTGTTCTTTAATCATCCTTTGTGCAACGTATTGCAATAGACATGAGACATCTTTATTGCATATAAAAGGAATCGTTATTGCGTATCAAAGTATTCGTACGAGACATGGTAAACTATTAATACCGTGCGAAGTGCTTTTAGAGACGTTTCTTTGTCCTGGTGTTCTTTGTGAGTTCTCATCGGGGAAATTGTTCAAACTGTTTTAACAAATAAAATGTAAAAGTTTATTTGTTCTCAGATGTTCGTGGTTATCATAATCGAGTGACATAATAATATTAATAAATAAACTTCGACATGTGGAAACCATTCGAGCCTGGCAGTTCGCCAGTCGACTGGTGCGAACGTAATTATAGTATTTCATCTAGTATCGCAGAATTTATGAACACGGTTTGTATTACACAAAAAAGTAATATACCCAGTAAGATCTCTTTAGGAAACAATGAAATATAACAATGTTAATTGAATAAGTTAAATTGTATCTTGCTTGCAGTTGAGTAATTTGGTGTTTTTGTTACTTCCTCCTATCCTTATGCACCTGTTCAGAGATTATGGAAGATTCGTAAATCCTGGAATTCATGTAATTTGGTTTCTGTTAATGATAGTTGGTCTCAGCAGTGCATACTTTCATGCTACCTTATCTCTTATAGGTAAGTAATTCATTATCGTGAACACAAGGACAACGAAGGCAGCCGAGATAATTTTTGTGTTGTTGTAATAGGTCAATTGTTAGATGAACTAGCCATTTTATGGGTATACATGGCAGGTTTCTGTATGTTTTTTCCAAGAAGATATTTCCCAAACATTTTACACAATGATAGGAAACTTCTTTCTATTTGTGCAATGCTACCAACTCTTATTGCAACTGGTTTATCATTTATACATCCTGCAATAAACGCATTTGCATTGATGAGTCTTGGCATACCAGCATTTGGCTTTATGATAGTCGAATTAAAAAGGTAAATTATTTACATATAAAAAAAACTTCATAAAATAATATTACATTATATTATAACATTTCATAATGATTTTTAAGGACTAAGTCGATGAGGGTTTATAGATTGGGTTTAAGATGTGGGGCTGTTTGGTTGCTAGCAGTTGCTTGCTGGTTAAACGATCGATTATTTTGTGATACCTGGTTGAACTTAAACTTTCCTTATTTACATGCACTTTGGCATTTATTTATTTTCATTGCAAGTTACACAGCAGCTGTACTTTTTGCTTATTTCTCTGTGAAGGATGAGAAACCACATCAATCACCGGTGTTAAAATACTGGCCAAAAGATGACTTCGAACTTGGCATACCATATGTAACAATTAGGAGTTATGTTAAGCTAGATACAAACACAAATATATAAATATTAATATTAAAATTAAGAAGGCTGCTTTGCATTTATCAATCAAGGATCTTAATTTTGAAGACAGTTAGAAAAAGAATATAGTAGACATTTGGAAATATGTTTACTTTGCTTATTCGAATGACTTAACTTTGTATCAGTGATTTTACAAAGAGACATTTATATATATTTTACATAGCATATCTGTTTAAATTTGTGATACTACCCTAGATATTACTTTTTGTACAAATATTAAGAAATTAGTAATCTATCTTTAGAAGTGCAATATTAAGATAAATCATGCAAAACATTTATTCTCTTAATGAACATAATTCGATATTGTTCTAATATATTTGTGTATGCACAGAGAGGATGCAGTATTGAACTGAAATGAAGGCAATGTTAACCATTATTGTATATCGTTTAGTGTGATATCAAAGAATAGGATTTATGATATCAAAGAAGATTATTTTACTGA